TGTTTTGCGAGCGTCAAGTTACCAAGATGCATCATGTGAGAAGGTACGCATGAAATATACACACGTATCAGTGTCTGTAAACTGTCTGTAAACATGCTGAGTGATTCTCTTCTATTCTTCAGTTTTCCCAGAGTTCGTCTTCAGTTGAAGATATAGAGATCGGTAGGTGTTGTATTAACATGACTTTGATTTCTTGATTGAATGGAGAAAGTAAGTACAACCCCCCCCCCCGCCCTTCAGAAGTGCCTCGGCTGACCCAGGAAAGCAGCGCTTTGGCTGCGGCTCCAATCCAAGCCCCCGCGCTCCCGCCTTTAAACGAAGCAATAGTGGACGAGCTCCCATCCACCAACAGCATCATGTCCTCCGGGGCCCCCTCGGAGCCGGCGGGGGGCTACGAGTCGGCGTCCGGGCCCTCGCCGTCCCCGCTCCCCGTGCCCTCGTTCGTCAACGGGTGCCGAACCAGCCAGCCGTGCAGCATGCAGGCCGGCCAAGACTTTGACGGCGACATCATCGGGGACGACCTGGACGACCTGCTGGACCAAGCCGGCCCCGAGTCGGCCATGGTGAGTGTGCGCGGGGGTGGGTGGCGGTGCGCGTGGGAGCGTGAGCGCCGGTATGACTGTCGCCCGCCTCTTATCTCCCCCCCCCCAGGTCATACCCACCATGAAGGGGCCCCTGCCTCTGCCGACCAGCATCGCCTCGGGCAGCCCCTTGTCCAATCCCTTCCTCATGCCGTCGCACATCAACCCGTTCCTGCACGGCGGCGCCCAGCTGTGCACCGTCACCCTGCCCCCACTGTACCACAAGTCGGGGTCCAGCGCGTATTTCGGCATGGACTCTTTCGACCCCCTCCCCCCGGCCCTGGACTCCCTGGATAGTCTCAATATTGGCGACTATAAAAACGGTACGCTGCGTTGCGTCCATCAACACGTACAACGGTCGGCTCAAAAGTGCGTAACCGACTTCTTCTCACGTTTCAGATTTCGCTCCGAGTCCGTTCCTTCAGCAGGTAATTCCCCTTCTTTCAATGAGTCACGGTTATTTCCTCCTATTGGGTCATAACTCGCATGTGTTTGTCCGGAGCAGCTGAACAACATCGACAGCCCGATGGGGATGGCGGTGGGAATGCCTGAGGTGAGGGGCCTGCCTGCTGCTGTGGATTTAGCGAAGAACCCCTTAGCCGACACGCATGAATTCAAGCAGGCGTGTGCGAAGTGCTACGTCAAAACTGGTGAGGAAAACGTGTGTGTGCGTGTGTGTGTGTGCGTGCGCACGCTCCTCGCACTTTAAAGGGAAGGGAAGTGCTGTTTGTTGTAACATGTTTCTTTATTTTGCCGTCCACAGGTCCCGGAGTGCTGGATTACACGCTTCACACAGAAGAGCATAAATGCAAAAAGGACGCTTTACTGAGCCGAATGAAACACTCGCTAGACAAAAAGTGGAAGCTCATTCGGCCGAGACCCACGAAAACCCAATATGTTGGACCGTATTACATTTGTAAAGGTAACGCTCGGCTCGTATTCGTTAGACGGGAGTTTCAGTTGTGCTTCTGGCTCTTCCTGTGCACCTTTCTGCCTCTCATCGGCCAACGCGTCACCGTTGTGGTTTCAGAGGTGGCCGTTGGAGAAGAGTGCCTGTACCCGGGCCACTGCACATTTGCATACTGCCAGGAGGAGATTGATGTTTGGACTTTGGAGCGGAAAGGGTTCATCTCCAGAGAGCTCCTCTTCGACCCTTTCGGGCCCAACTCCAACATCCGCTTGACCGTTCCCAAGATCCTCCAGGAGCATCGCGGGATATTCATGTTTCTCTGTGGGGTGAGTCCTTTGTTTGTCGTTTGATAGCTGGTATTGCTCAGTGTAAACAGATATATATTTACCACCTGCCGTGTTTCTTACATTCAGAAGCTCTGATAGCGCTTTGTCTGCGGCAAAATGATAAATGCGGCCGTTAAAAAACAAAATATCAAAGTGATGAATGTAATATTTAGCTTCCCTTTGGAGCCTCATTTGTTAGTCTGATGCTCATCTGTTGTTCGGGACTTTTAGAGTGATGCTGATGGCTTTTGGATGCGTAAGTCTCCGGGTTATCCATCCAGAGGGGCCCGTGTCAGCACTGGAGGAAGACTGATGTGTTTAATACTGACGATTATTTATTTATTTATTTATTTTGCAGGTGTGCTTTGACCACAAACCCAGAATAATCAGCAAAACCAACAAAGACGACTTTTCACTTTGCTCTCATCCGGTGACAAAGCACGTCTTTGAGGAACATAAGTATGTCGCCTCCCACTCGGGTCGATCCGTGATCATGGAGTCATCGGAGGGAACGAGACCGTGATCCTAAGGTGGCGTTGTCCCCTTTTCTTGCCTCCCCAGGTGCCTGGTCCACATTTTGAAGGAGAGTACGGTCCGATATTCCAAAATCCGGCCCCTGAGTCCTCCGTGCCAGCTGGACCTCTGCCGCCACGAAGTCCGCTACGGCTGCGTGAGGGAGGACGACTGCTTCTACGCACACAGCCTCATCGAGCTGAAGGTCTGGATGCTGCAGCACGAGCTCGGTGAGGCCGCTTCTCGATTGGCTCTCCCGAGGGGGCCGGAGGGGGAATGAAATGACTCGCACTATAGTTATTCCGTCTCCCGTCTTGCGTCACACAGGCATCACTCATGAAAACATCGTCCAAGAGGCCAAGAAGTTTTTGAATTCAGCAGCTTTGTTGCAGGGAGCCCAGGTGAGCCCACACGAAGGCTTGCAATCAGTCTGATGTCTGTCAATATCTCCAGTAAACATTTGTCGGTGGTATTTCTTTTTTTTTCTCTCTCATGTGATTGCAGAAATATAATGTGCTATTTCCTGGGATTTAATCTACGTTTCGGGCTCTTCCATTCTCTCGCAGCGATTGTAACCAAGTCTTTTATTTAAATCCCATCAGCCGCTTTCCAGCCCACCGAGGAAGTTCGGGCCTCCGAATATGAAGATGATGTTTGTTTGTGGCCAGTGCTGGAGGAACGGCCAGCTCAGCGAGGCTGACAAAAACAAGAAGTATTGCTCGGCCAAGGCGAGACACACGTGAGTGCTGCCAACGCAAAGTCTTTCCGCGGGACGCCGGCCCGGAGGTGACCGGCTTTCTGTCTCTCCGTCTCAGGTGGGCTAAAGACCGGAGGGTGGTGCTCGTAAGTTCCCACGAAAGGAAAAAGTGGACAACCGTAAGACCCCTTCCGACCAAAAAACCCATCCCGTCTCAGTTTGAGGTACGTGCTCCTCCCCTGTGTCTCCTATCGAAAGGAGCCTGCCGCAGTGCTCACCCCAGGCTGTTTGTTCTTCCCGTTGGCAGATCTGCATGCATGTAACGGCTGGCAAGAAGTGTCAGTACATCGGCAATTGCACGTTCGCTCACAGTCAAGAAGAAAGAGACCTTTGGACGTACATGAAGGAAAACAACAGTGAGTGAACGACTCTCAACTTTATTAGCACGTGATGCTCCGCTTCAATCATTCCGTGTGAAATGCTCTCGTTTCAGTTCCAGACATGGATCAGCTTTACGAGCAGTGGCTGCAGTCCCAGAAGCCCGGCTGGGGGGACGAGACCCCCAGTAACTCGGTCAGAGAGAACGGCAAACAGATCCACATGCCAACCGACTACGCGGAGGAAGTGGTGAGAAGTTCTGAGAGGGGATATCTCACGCGACGTGCCGTCAGGAGGAATTTTAATCCGTCACATTTTAGTGGGGCGCTGAAGTGTGCAGGCTTAGAACGTAGAGCGACTGCTGTAGATGGGTGCCATTGGTTGTTCTTCATCATACACACTGTTGGATATGTGCACAATATTTCCGAGTGTTTGATCTTGATGGGTCAGACATGTTGTGGTTGTGTTGCATCTCATCTCTCTGGGATGTTGACGTAGGCGATCATTCAGCTGTCAGACTGTGGCCGCGCTCACATTCGTCTCCAGCGCTTAAACCGCGTGAACAGCTGATTGTGCACAGCTACTTTGAACTAATATTCAAAGTGATTTAACGGCATTAACCGAATGACTAAACCGGCGGCGATCCGTCTCCTTTGTGTCCGTTCGCAGGCCGGCAATCACTGCTGGCTGTGTGGGAAGAACTCTAACAGCGACAAGCAGTGGCAGCAGCACATCACCTCGGAGAAGCACAGAGACCGGGTGTTCAACTCCGAGGACGATCAGAACTGCTGGCAGTACCGCTTTCCCACGGGCACCTTCAAAGTCTGCGAGAGGTGAGCCGACCGCCGACGGAGCGCTTTCACGCCCCCCCCCACCCCAGGTCAACCGCGATTGACCTTTTTTCTTTTTGGTTTGCTCGTGGCAGGTTCCTGAAGAACACGTGCACGGAGGACGAGTCGTGTAAGCTGGCCCACGGGGAACAGGAGCTGAAGGAGTGGAAGGAGCGCCGGGAATTCCTTTTGATGAAACTCGCCAAAGCCCGAAAAGACCATCTTATAGCACCAAATGACAATGACTTTGGAAAATACAGTTTTCTGCTTAAGGACGTTATCTAACGATGCCACGACGATACTTGCGTTCCTTTTGCAACTAATGCAGTATTCAAAGAGCGGAGTCAGGTGACGCCCGGGGGAGCGCCCCGGCGGCAGCATGGTTTTAAAGAGCGGCGCTCGGGCCCGCGGCCGGGTGTGACCTCTGAACTCCGGTAGTGTTAGCGCTGAGTGGGAGACTCTTGAAGCTTTGCTATGTGCCGTTCAGTAGACCTTCTGAACGCGCTGCTGGGAGTGGCATGTGTAAACCATCAGATACAAGTCGACCTGAGAGTCATTTCTATTTGTTCATGACCTGTAAGTATGGGACACTTCAAATCAAAGGGTTCGGTTGACACTCATTTAAATTTTTACCATAGTTCATTGCCATTTATCTATTAATAAACCAGTGTAATGGCCACCTCTCCAAATAAAGTTTGTAATTTTTTTTTTTTTTTTTGCTAAACTTTTAACTGCTATTTTATTAATCACGCTTGTATCCAGTGGTGAGAAGAAGTCATTTTATTTGAAGCAGAGTCGGGCACTGAAAACCCTAAAAAAGTGCTTAATTACAAATTCAGAGCATAATTACGCTTAAAGGGCTCAACATTTCCACCCGAGGCAGTAGACTAGTAGCCCCTTTTCTGTTGAAAGCACAAACAAGATGGTATTCTTGCGTCAGAATCCCCGGCTCGGTCCTTTGAGGGAGGGTTATGTTCCTTCTGCCATTCGTCAAGAGTCACTTGGATGCTGCAGGACAGGAAGTCGTTCCAACGCCACGTTCAGGTCAGCAGCCGCTGCAGCTCCTCCACCTCCAGCTTCCACATCCTTCTGTGGACCCCCGAGAGCTCCGAGAGGTCCGCCATCTTCACCGCGTGGATCACCGGCTCCGGGGACACGGCCGTGATGACGCCCATCACCATGACATATTTACCTGCAGACAGCCGTGTGGTTCGTGACGATCCAAACGTGTTTTGGAATTGTGTTACGCGGCGCAAAAGGAACATAATGTATTTGTATAATTTAAATTTGGTTATTAACATTAGATATGAAAAATATTTGTTGCCCACAAAGATGACAAAAAAAAACATTCAAAAAGCTTTTTTCAAGACAGGCCCAACTAAGAAAATTAATCAAACAACTTCTAATAAATAATACGGTCCATTTTTAAACTATGTTGACAAGTTGCTAAATAAATCGAGGCATATAAGTGATTTATCACATCTCAGAGACCCCCTCTACCTTGGGACAAACACGGCTTCCCCCTCGGTACGTTGTGGACGCCCTGCACGGCGAACGTCCCCGTCTCGTCCACCAGCATCACGCTGTTTCTCTCCGGCCGGACCTCCACGACGGTCCCCTGCATCCACACCAGGGAGACCGGCAGAGAGCGACCCGTGGCCGGCCGGATGACGAAGCCGTCCTCGCCGTCGGCCGGTCCCCGGCGCTGTGCCGTCCTCAGCTGCCCGGACAGCAGCTTGACGGGCGGTGGGCGCTTCGCCTCCGCCGCTTCGCTCATCGCCGACCGCGGGCTGTCGTTTGCCGGTGGCTTGAAAAGTTTCGCGGTTGCCGCCACTCGTCAGTGTCCCGGCGGAAGTCGGCGGTATGTTTTCCGGAAGCAGAATTGTTTCCGGTTTGGAATCCTTCAGAGTAAAGGCGTCGCGTGTCTCCCACGAGGTTGAAGACATCATATATATATATCTATGGATATAGATATAGTAGACATGCTCGGCTTGCATTTTGTAGCATTCGGAATCACGCTATTAATACATTATGTATTAAATAAGAAAGCTTCAGAGCTGAAATAGTTGTTCCTATTTAAGAGTAAAAAGACACACATTGAACTTTGTTGTGTTATTGAACATCAGTCTCAGCAAATTCAGCCTCATTTTTGATGTGAGCAGAACATTTTTAGTGTGAAAATGTGTAAAAAGTAAACATTCTTTCACCTGGAATTGATGAATAGTGCTGTAAACAATTGCTTTACAACTACCTGAAAAAGTGAGTTGTGCTACTAATTGGGCACAGCGATGCTTTAAGATACAAGGTGGTTTTATAATATTTAAATTATTCCTGCTAGTACCAAAATAATGAGTAAAACATGACTCCGTTATTAATCAGTCCCATTGATCTTACTCACCCCAGTAAAGACCAGAAAGTTTGTTTTGTAAAGCCGTTATAATTTCTTCAGTTTAGTGGGTTTTGCTGAATAAAACAGGGAAACACATTTTTATGGCCAGAGCAGAAGGATCCTGGTCATCATCTTACAGCATCTGCCCGACTGGACATTTTTAAAGCCGATGTTAAAGTGCTCGGTCGGCCGGAGCCAAATCTACTCAAATCAGTATCTTCAAACTCAAATGGAGTTTGAGTTTTTTTTCCAAAGCGACTGGGAAAACCTGCAACGTTTTAGTTCAGTCAATTAAAAAAAATGTATTTCTTTTCATTAAATACGTTTTATTTCTTTAAGAATAACTGAAGAAAAGTGTTAGCAATTTCTGTACAATTGTTTAATCATTTTCCCCCTTGGATTTGCTGAAAACCTTGAACGATCAGCAGGGCTGAGAATTGTTACGCTGCCATAGTGCACTTTTAACCTAAAAACCATATTGATAAGTCCTCAGGGAGTTTCCGTCTGTTTCCTCTGAATGTATTCCAACAAGTTCCTTACGGTGGACTCCAGTTCCATTTTTCATTGGCTCCTCTTCTCAGTACCAGTTCAAAAAAAGAGGCACGTTAGAAATACTGCCATTTCCCAAGGACTGTGTCTTTGATTGCATCGACAAACTGTGCAGGCACCCAGTAGACCCAATATTGAGACGCTTCTGTCGGACCCAGCTGAAAAGCCTACAGAGGCAGACAAATAAATAAACAGTGAGCACTTCAAATGATCCGATGTTCACATATTCTGTAAAAGCAAACTGGTAGATGGTATTCAGAACGTACACATTAAATTACCTTTAATTATCTAAACGTTACATAAGCTCATCTGGAATCTCATGCATATATTTGAAGGATGATGCTTTTAAAAAATAAAAATCGACATTCAAAGAGCTAAAAGCTTTGATTAATATACGGCCTCTCAAGTAAAGGAACATTTATCTGCAGTAATTCACAGCCAACTTAATCCTTCCAACGGAAACAAATGAAACATTTATTTACTCTATTGCTCCTTCTTTTTAGCCTCTTTTCCCTGCTGGGCTTGGTATCTGGGAGGAAAAGCTCAGCCTGCCGAGTGGCATTTGAAGTCCCTCATCTCGTCCTCATACATCATCAGCTCCTCGGTGATGCAGGAACACGCTGCCATCAACCTTCAATACCACGAGAGACCCGGTACCCGCCTCACTGGCACACGCTTACGATCCCCATTGTTGCTCCAATCGACTGGAGGCCGACCGCCGCGGAGCTCGCTGCCTTTACATTCATCACGTCGCTCGCCTTGTTTACTTCCCATTAATCAAAGCGCATCAGCTATTCGGCTGACAGGGTCGTCGTCCGAGCTCCACAAATGCAGATGTTCTGTCGGGATCTCGATCTCCAGCAGACTACCCGATTCAATTAAGTTACTTGTTCTGGGATTTCCATGTGGTTCTGACAAAGACAAACACCGGCGCCTTCACACAGAAAGGTTAATCTAGAGGAAGCGCTGACATTTCCCGCTCCGCCGCACAGCCCCAAACAGCACACGGTGACCTCCATCACTCGGGTGCACGCGCGCCACAGACACTCTTTTCAGAGAACAGACACCCGGTGGGGGGGCACGGTGCCGGCAGTCCAAAGTTCTGTATGGGACAGAATCATTTGGATTGGGCCTTTTTAATTACACATGTTGACTAAAACGGGAATGTTGGCTTGATTATGACACTATTTTAACGGCAAGACATCATTCAGTATTTCTTATCTGAAATCATGCGTACATTAAACGTAGTGTATGTGAGACAGAACCACGTCTACGGCCTGTTCACAGCGAGCGGGCTCGGCCGCCGATGGACGCGGCGCTGCAGCCGGCGCTTTTTTATCTCTGAGCACTCGGCCTTTTTTTAGGTGAAGTGGTTCTAGTGGAAAATCGCTGAACTTTTCAGAAAAGCGTCGCTTTGGAAAACAGAGGAGAGGAGGCTCCGTGCTGAGCTTCATATGTCAGACAAACACGTGTGTAACAAGCGCCTCGTCTCCAAAGCCATCGGCCTCCTCCGGCTCATCTGATTGGGGCTCACGGGGAAACAAACAGATGGCTGACCACACAGATATTAAAAAGCCGGGGGGGGAAACGATGGCGGTCTGTTATACAAGGCTAGCTAGAGACATGATGTGTCGGCAAGATACTGTTGTCGTGGAAACGTGAAAAAAAGAAACCTGGGATGAAGCACTTCTCTGCCACAAAAAGACACTAAGTGGACAGAGAGCTGGATTCTATGTAAGGAAATACCAGCACGTCTGGCTCCATCATCAAGTCGGTTACAGAGAGAGAGAGAGAGCGGCTGGGTGAGCTGACTGAACGAGAGCGGAAGAGTCCATTCATCAGCTGGTCCTAACAGAAAAGCTTTTTAAACCAATATAAAGACAAGTAACACCGGCAGCATCTTTCAGTTCTGCTTCCCATTTTGCCCTCGTGGTCTTCTAGTCTCAATGTGAAAATATGTTTGAAGCCGTGAAACTGGACTGGCGCTGCATCCGCATTGTAAGCCGTTGATGGATGGATTCTACACAGTTAGTGTGCAAGCAAACCCTTACCATCATGTAATAGTCCTCGTGGCCTTCGATGGGTTCAGTCACCACGTTTTTAATGGAGCCCATTGGGACTTTCTCCGTTCTCTCTGGAAGGATGAACACACACATTTTTGACTGTTAATATCTTTGCGTTGAAGTGAGTTCAGCAAAAAAGTCGGAATCCAGATGGAATCTCACCCTTTGTCCCGATCCACAGCTGATCCTGCTCCAGTTTGAACGTGAGTCGAACTTTCCCTCCGGACTTGTTGAACATTCCGGATAAAGGCACGGTTGGTAATCGCTCCTGTTGGCAGGGAGAGACGGGTGGTGTGCGCGTTCATTAGTGACATCACACAGTTGGCCTTGAGCCGCTCTGGCTGAACTCTCCTCCGCTCCTCTCACCTTTGTTCCTTTAACAGATGCCATGATGTCATCTGGTTTACCTTTGTCCAGAACCTTCCTGTGTTGCTGGAAATAACACTGCCGGTTTAATAACACTGAACTCCATGAATATTTGACTGTGTTCTGCGGACGTGCCGTTAATCTTACCTTTTGTCTGCATAAAGGCTCCTTCTTGTTTTCTTCAGCTTTAACTTCCTGCTGGATGACCTCTTTGGGTGTATTCACAGCTAATACGTCATTTATCGTGGATCCTACCACCATTATTTTTGCACCGTTCGTAATCTTTATTTCACGTAGCGTTTTGTCCTCTGGAAGCAATCCTTTGTACATGACTTTCTGCATAGCAGGTGGAAGACCTGGGAAGATGGAAGAGTACGTTATGCCTGCGTTAAGCGTCACGGGTCACTTTAAACAGGTGCTGCGCTCCGCGTTCTCACCAGTGAGCGAGTGGATCCGCTCTTTTAGTTGGGCTCCGGTGTTATCAACAGGAATCTTCAGATCATATTTGTTCTTGTTCCAGATAATCTTCAAGTCCACCATCTCCTGCCCGTCGTCTGCGTCGTCTCCGTTGCTAATGCTAGAGTCCTGAGTTGTGGCGTCTCCTACGTCCGTGCCAGTCGTGGGTTCCGCGTCGCCTCCTTCAGCGTCCCCACACAGCTGTTCGGCTTCTTTTTGCTTCGCCTCAGTGTCCATTATGACTTCTTCACCTCCTTGAAGAGCAATGACAACATTTATTCAGTTAGATTCAGTGCAAAGTCGTGGTGGGTGTATTACGTCCGAGGGGGATGCAGCCGGATGAAGCAAAGATCCACTTTGGTCGTTGAGGCTGGACTGAAATAAATGATGTGTTTGATTTACGAAGGGTTCGATTTCTTTTCGGTTGCTCGCTTTATAAACTCAAATCAAAGTAAATAATAGCTTACTGTATTGTATAGAGTGTAAGAGTTTCTCACAGCAGTCAAAATTATTCTGAAACGAAAAAAATAAAAATAATAATCTGTTTGTCAATCACATTCCAACCGGCTCTAAACACATTGTCATTATATATCTAATTTACTTAATGGAAGATGTGTACATCTACAAAGTGTTCGTTTGAATTAACGGTGTGTTTGTTATTCATTACTTAGTTACAGTTATCTCTGTGGAAATAAAATCCGCATGTTTGTTTCATAACCAATTTCTAACCCTTGAAAAGTCTCAATAGTTTTAAAAACGGCATTTAAAGTCTTTTCTTCTGGCTCTTGTTCTCCGCCGTTCAAACGCATTAGTCGATCTGTCTGTCGGGCGAACGGAGAAACGAAAGTGAACTTAAAAAACCGTCGTTAACGGGACACCGGAGCTCGTGACGTAGCTGGTCACACAACCGGTGACGTTGAACGTAACGAACCCTCGTCCGGTACCATTCCGGGCCTAAACACGAGCCGGGCTCAAAGTGAACCGGTCCCAACGGAGCGGTGGTCGAACCTCCCCCGGCGTTCACTTCAGTCCTCCGCACACCCGGCTACGTTTGACTGCTGCTAGCAGCCGTTGAACGGGAGCTAGCTTGAGCACCGGAGGACAGTTAATGGGGAATAACGTCACGGAGAGACGTAACATTCACGCCACGCCGCGGTAACAGCGACGTACGTTAACGAGCCGATCGCTGACGTGTTCTATGACAGAAACAACGCGTGGGCTCAGTGTAAAGACGCGAAGGAAACGCTGCTGTGTTTTCTCAATACCCACCAGCCTGCGTCGCCATGATGATTGTGTACAATCTGTTGTACGAGGGGGCGAAGAGTGCAGACGGCAAGAGGAGCGCTGACGTTCACAAAGCGAAACGACCACCGCTAAAGTTGTGTTAGACAGCGTATTTACGCGTGACAGCGTATAAAAGCCGAAGAAAAATAAGCAATAGATTGTCTAAATGCAATGACACGCACAGCTGTGTTTGCGGTAGCAACGTTACACGTTGTGCGGTTTGAGTTAGCCGGTGAACAGGAAGGAAGGATGAAAGTGCGCGTGCGCATTCGAAAACATCTGCAAATTGAGTTGTATTTAGACAAAAGCGGTTATAAAGAAAGTCCTGTTTCGAGCTAATGTTGTTCAATCAATTATGCCTGTCGCTAAACACGGAATGTGACTGATATTTTGTAGCCACAAAGCCCTGGGGGAATTATTTTTCCAACACGGAAGTAAGAGGTAGTGAATCCTCTCGCTTCGCTAAACCTCTTTGTTTTGTTGGCAGCGGACGCAGACAGCGAGAGGTGGCACTTCACTCAACGGCTATTGGACCGTTTTCTTCTTCTTGTACCACGTTAAGGATTTCAAACGACGCGTTATCGCCAACTATTGGAATCTACGAAACACCTCCAAGTACGACAAGACAAATTGAACCCCGTCCACCTTTCAAACCTTGACACAACACACGTTTAGAGTTCCGTGGTGCTTGAAGTCACTTAAAAAAGCACTAAGTAACTCGCTACCTCTTTGTATTTAGAACAAAGGTAGAAATACACCAAAAACAAGGATCCAATATGCAGGTTGAACATTGTCATGACCTTTATGATCATATTTATTATCATTTTAAGATTGTTATCATCGTGTAGTTAATACGGGTAAATGATTTACTACAGTTTTTGAATGAGTTCTATGATCTTGGTAAGAGACTAAAATGACTGTGATAAAACACTGAAATTGACACGATGGACTTAGATGTGGTTTTATTGATTTATGTCCAACATAAATCTTACAGCACACACAGTTTACAGTAACCAATAGTGAAGGAAGTGGTCAGATCTTCTGTGAGAGTCAAAGTGTGTGTATATATATATATATAGTATATATAATATAATGCCTCTTGAAACAGAATGGTCCAATTCAAAATAATGTAAATTCCATTTGCCTATTTGCAAGGTGGTAATTATAATAAAGACAGATTCGCTGACTCCATGTCTCCATATGTTCAATAACAACAACAACAACAACAAAAAGCCTCCTTATAAAGCAGCAACACTGGTTTCGGTATCTGTTGAACATTGTTTAACAAATTAAAATTAATCAAAATCTGAATGTCTTAAATGGACTTTTAGATTTATTTGTCCTGTAGAGGGTTAATGGCCGGATTCTATAGGGATACATGCTCTCTACAATAATCCAACAGCTTGCATAAGATTAATATGAGTATTACACCAAGTAGTAAACTAACTATATACAGCCAAATAGTTTGGGAATTTTACCAAGGGATCAATAAAGTTGTGTACATAAATGTGTAATACATCATTTGTTGATCATATTTTGCTAAATAACTTCCACTAAGAAGCAGTGTAAACATGTTATTTCTTTGATAGTGGAGTGAAAAGTACATTGACATTATAAGACAGTATAGACTACTTAAGTAAAAGCAATTCCACTATAATGCGCCAAGTTGTGGCCGTCACAGGAGAATATTCCTCCCCGACACCTCTGGAAGGCAGCAAAGCTAAACAAGTGGAAATGAGCGCAAAATACACCAGAAGAAGAAGCAGGGGGGAGAGAGAGAGAGAGAGGGAGAGAGGGAGAGGGAGGAGAAAATGAACGGAAAAGTCACAGAAGGACAAGGAAGACAGCAAAAAACTAATTGCCCGAAATTGAAGTCACGCAGTTTGTCACGCGTGCCTCATACCCAGGAGGCTCCGCGCGCGCTTTACGCAGCGCTGCGTCACTCTCTCCAAACTGTTCCACACGACGACCTGAGTTCACATGGACTCCTGCGAGTTGCCAATGAATCCGTGCGGTTCAAATGAGAGGACGCAGTGAGTTTGAACTGGGACCGGTTGATAAACCAGCATGGCAGACAGAAGGACTTTCAACGTGGTGATTTTGGGTGTTGGATTTCTGTTCATTTTCACCGCCTTCACCACTTGCGGCAACGTTGAAGTAAGTTCCACTTTCTCACTTGAGTTTCTACACATCGAGAGTCGACTTTCACACCGGTTTGTTGCCTCTGAAAGCCCGAAAAAGACCCCCGAGGTGTCCAAAACACCGTCGGAATGGAACATCTGTAGCACAAATATACTTATTTCATATTTATTTAAGGCCTATTAGTATTAATTGTCATCGTCACGTCATGCAGATCACTTTAAACCAATAATGCTTTTTGGTTTTGCACACGCATTTTTTTTTTTCATTGAAAATTTGATGCAACTGCAGATGTCTCGTGCGCAGGAGGGCCCCCCGGGGTTCTGATTGTGCCCATTGGCCGGGGGGATTTTCCACCCGGGAGGAGTAATTTATGGACACATGCCCCCCTTTCCCCAGTTGGACCCCCCCCCCCCCCCCCCCTCCCTCCTCTGCTGTCATCTTCTTTTCAGCAAACGGTAGTGAAAAGCCTGCGGAATGTCACCTTGGGCGGGACCGGGTACCACAGGTAGGTCAAGCGCGTCCACGTCCTCGAGACAAAGACGTTTATGTGATTAAAGTCAAACAAAGTGATAGCCAATCTCCCCCCCCCGCCCCCCCCTCCCACAGCCTGGGGATCATCTACGGAGTCTTTTCTTTCGCCAATTTACTGGCACCAGCCGTCGTGGCGGTAATTGGGCCGAGGGTCACCATGTTTCTCAGCGGCCTACTTTACAGGTAAACGTCGTCATGGTAACCGCGTGGCAGAGAGACGACAGAGAGGCGTTGCTCACTGCTGTTGTTGGTGCTTCCTCCTCCCCCCAGCGGGTACGTCGCTGTGTTCATCGTCCCTTCAACGTGGTCCTTTTATCTGACCTCCGTGCTCCTCGGCGTAGGAGCCGCCAGTAAGTTCCTCTACCTGCTCCGTGCGTCATCGTGCAAACACGCGAGTGTGTTACTACAAATTGAAGGAATGAGTTCATGGAGCAGATGTTAGTTTCCCAGGAAGTTTAGTCTATAAAATTGGTAAAAGATTTGTCAATCATCAAACGTTTGATTCATTTTAGTTCTGTCAAACATACTGAATTTTCAAAAGAGAATGCATAAATACTTCAGCTTGGCCCCTGTTTTTAAGCTATGTGTCGGTGTTCAAAACCGTGTTTAATCATGCACACGGGGATTAGCGCGACTGCGCTGTGTATCTTAAATTAGAACCTCAATGGCTTAGGAGTTGTTTTAGAAAAATGAACGGCGGGCGGCGCTTAGCGATGCAGGCGGTTTGAATACCGCAGAGCAGCTCTCCGCTCATCACTTTCCGCAACAAATGAGGGAAGATGATTTGTGTTCATAACGCAGCCTCCAATCATTGCCCTGTGATGAATCTCCATCCCGTCCCGGGGCTCCCGCGTGGTTTACCCACCAGCTCAGACGGATGATGCTTCACTCGCCGTGGCCAATTTCCTCACCGGTTACATTTTTCTTTCCCGAATGACCTCACTCCCCCGCAGTGCTGTGGACAGCTCAAGGACACTTCCTGGTGGAGAACTCGGAGGCCTCCACCATCAACAGGAACACGGGGATGTTCTGGGCTCTCCTGCAGTGCAGGTACGACTCCGCTACACTCCGGCCGCTACCTTCTTCAAAGTCAAAGCAGCACAAGGTTGCAAATGATGCTTCCTGCGTAATATAATCCCCTCCCACCCCCAACACACAATTCATCACTAAGTTTCTCATCTTTTTCTCCTCTTTCTGTTTGATGCAACGATTTCCGTTGATCAAAAGGCGCAGCGGCCACGTTACTGTATTTTTAGCCCGACGGGATATTGCCGTGTGCTTTATGTTAGAATGCATTTGATAAATCATGTTACAAATCGCCACGTCCCCCTGTGAGCCTCTAGTTTCTCTCTGCACAATATAAAAACCCGCCTGACCTCTCTGGACGTAGTTCTGCAGAGTTCTGGCCTTTTCGTCTCCTGCGTTCGGGCCCGTTGCTGATTTGTAATGCGTAGAATAACGACACTGGCCGGCATCACGCATTGAGAACACAGGTCCCGTTGCCCTCAATGCAGAAGCCCCCCCCCCCCCCTCTTCTCCCCCCCTCGCCGAGCGCGCGGGACGGACTAATTGCCCATCTACATTTTTACTTCAGAAAATATTCAGTTAAAGACAGAAATAGATCATAGCGTTAGATCACCATGAAGGGCAAGTAAACAGCTTAAACAGAAGAAAAAGGCCTCGTTAAAGGAAAAGTCTCTCTTGTTTTGTTTCTCTGTCTGTCAGGCAGCACTGTATGGCCGGTTTTTTATATTTATTTTAACACAAAGAGTTTAAAATAGGGAGAACGCACCAAGCACAATGGAAATGTCTGCACACTCAACTGCTCTACTTCTTCTTCTGTTATTTTCACCGCGTGTTTGGCAATCTTTACATTTATTTGGACTCGGTTATGGAAAGACAGAGATATCAGGTGGGTTCAAACTCCAGTAAGTCCGGTCCTGAATCTAAAAGCCATATCTGGCATGACGATTAAAGCAAGATTCCAAGAGGATTAAATGACTGATCGATGTGTTAATTAAGCAGCTTTTAAAAAAAATCTTCCCTCAGACAGCAGCAGGAAGAACCTGTTTCTGTCCCTGCTGGTGGCCTCCGTACTCGGCACACTCAGCTTCCTCGCGCTGAGAAGGAGCCACGGCGAAGACGAGATGCTCTCCGAAGAGGAAGGGCAGTCGCTGCTCTCGACCCGCGTGATGTAAACCGGCGTGCTAGAGATAATCACACCCTTTTCACTCAGAATGCATAAAACATGTCCCGACCACTCTCGAAGAAGGACAAGGAGGGGGCGAACCGCAAGTGATGAGTAGAAAAAAAAATGCTGTTTTTTTTTCCTCAAATGACCACGTAGAGTTTGCGAGGATGACTTCCTGCTGCGGTTTTAAATCACTCTTGTCCTTCACGAAAATGATGGAGCGTCTTTCTGCACGTCATTTAGATTTTGACACAGATCACCACACTTCACACCAGAAGGTTTCTTGTGAGGCGGGACGAGGACCCTCTCTGAGAGGGCCCAGATTGTCCCGGCTCGGCCCTCCACACTTTATAAACTCGTGTGGCTTCACTCCGGAGAAAAGTTCAACTTAAAACACAGTTAGTGGAAATTGTGGTAAAATCAGTGGATCGCACAGAACTCTGTTTCTGCTTTAACGGAGAATCCATGAGCGGGAAACACGGGAATCAAGTTATGTCATAGTCTGTGCGTGCAGTTTGTCTTGTATCTCTTTATTTCCATCTTTAAATGTACTTCTTTCATGCTGTTTAGGTACAAGCACAGAGCAAACGGTGCCATGCAAGATGCCAAGTCAGAATTCAGTAAGTTGGGTTATTTACAATCGGACAGACGGACAAGTGTCGTCACGGCGACGACGTCCACTTCTTACAGACAGACATCAAAGTCTTTGGTACTCATCGTTGGGGCATGATGCTACACGCTACAAGTCACCTCCAGCACTTCAATGCTCTCAGTCGAAGACCAGCAGCCACTTTGCTTTTTCTCCAACTGAAAAATGTCTTTGATGTGGATGAAAATCTTCACAAGAGAAACAGGCGTTTGAGACGATATCATCAGCTGTTTGGATGATCAGAGGCCCTTTGTCTCGCTTTTACACCTTCCTAAAACCTTCTTTTACAATCTCTAAATCTGTATTCCCGCCTGCATTTACAGAAAAGGCTGCTAATTTAGACGGATTGTCTTTTCACAAGAAATGACGACATACAATCTGCATCTCTACTGGGTGCGTTGTGCTTCCTCCCTCTCAGAAACCATCCTGCAGCTGCTGAGGACTCCGACCATCCTGCTGCTGAGTCCCTGCATGGCGTACAGCGGTAAGTCAGCGAGGGCGTGACCCCCCCCGACGCCTGTGCGGGGCTCCACTGAAGGCCCTCTCCTCCTGCAGGCCTGGAGCTGGCGTTCTACAGCGGCGTGTACGGGACCTGCATCGGAGCCACGGCGCAGTTTGGGGATGCGGCCAGAGGCTTGATCGGGATCTCTGGCATCGTGGTGGGCATCGGGGAAATTGTGGGTGAGTTCAAGTTTCTCCCTTTTTGGGGTTTTATCGGCAGCGGCGCTTTTTTTGGGATTCGTTAAATGAATAATAAAAACGTTCTTTGTGATGAGGCGGCGGCTTGTTCGGGTTGCTGTGCACCAACAACCGCTTCAGGCGGACCTCCGTGGTCTTCCTGGGGATGGTCGTCCACTTCGTCGCCGTCTACTTGATCTTCCTCAACATCCCGGACGACGCCCCCGTCGTCTTTAGCACGGCCACCCAGAGCAAACCGTTCCTGACTCCCAGGTAGGGGGGGGGGGGATCTTTTCTCGCTCCCAACGTCGCCGCGGAGGAGTCGGGCGCAATGACCGACCCACCTTGTCTCCCCGTCAGCGTGTCCATCGCCCTGCTGTGCAGCTTCCTGCTCGGACTCGGGGACAGCTGCTTCAACACGCAGCTCTACAGCATTCTGGGCAGCGTGTACGCCGAGCACAGCGCGCCCGCCTTCGCCATCTTCAAATTCATCCAGGTAATCCCCGAGTGCAGGTGTGTGAAATGAATTCGGCCCGAAGCCCCAGAAAGAGCAAAAGAAGCAGAGCCCCCCTCCCCCCCCCTCGCACTTTAAATATATATGGAGAAAAGAGGAGAAACTGGGACTTCAATGTCTTTTTATCTTGTGGTCAGTCTGTGTTCGCAGCGGTGGCCCTTCTTCTACGGCGGGTACCTGCCCGCTCAAGTGGCAGCTGCTGGCGATGGTCGCGCTGGGCTTCGCCGGGACGCTGTGCTTCTTCGCGGTGGAGCGGACGCAGAGCGTCTCCGCAGACTCGCAGGAGGATTAGAAGGGGAGGACGTCTGTGCGGCGAAAGTACTTTTAAGCGTTTCCGCGTAAGGTGGATCGTTCTTCACTAATACGCTCGTCTCATCGTAGGTTTTTAAAATAGCCCCTTGCCTTATCGAGTACTTATTCGCATTGCTTCCAGCTCAGGTTTCTTATTACAGGCAGTTTTATAATATGTAATTCAAAATAATGTCATGCCTGAATTTTTTAAATTTTTTTTAAGCTGTTCCGTTTGGCGGAAATCATTGAAATGTATGCAAGTGTCGTAGTATTGTTGTAATGAAATATTTACTAGTTAATGCCTGACAATCATTTTGTACTCAATGTTGAAAGTTAAAGAAAGTTGAATGTTTTTTCAGTCATTTAAAATCGAACATGCTGAGCAAAGCTATTTACTGTAATAAACACTTAAGATGTTGTAAATGTCCCAAAAGGTTCAATCTGTAAATAAATCTGAATGGGATCACACTTCTCTGAGCGGAGTTGGAGGAGACGTTACGTGTTTCAGGTCGAAAACGCTTTCACTCCTCCAGTTTAACGCAAAACAAGATAAATCTACCGTCCGTTATCCTGAATTTCCACATTTATTGCAGAATCCACGAGGCCATTAATCAAAAGAGGAGCAGCAGAGGGGTTATAGGCCCTCGGGCCCCATATTACCTCGCTGGTAATTGAGTATTGATTACATTATAAGGAGAGTAAGCAGTTTTGTGTGACCTTAAGCCAATTGTGGCGCATTCCTGACAACAAAGAGCTGATGGGTTAAGTGAAGTATACAGCGTTTACTCACACAATTAAACTGCGCCAGGGTTCATGTTATTAGTTTAGAAAACCTCGTAAGGAAAGTAACTGGGTTTGGATAAGTCTATTACCTGAACACCGGCTAATGCGTCAGCTCGTAGTGATTCCACTGCGTTTCTCCACCCAAAGGTAACAGAGAAAAATGATCTGCATCACTGAAGTAAATAAATGAGCTGTTCTTTATTAAAATGCAGAGCGGAGTGCATTTCAAAAATAAGCCCAACTGTATTTGCAGTAAATTGATGTTTGTTTTGACCACTTTTTTTTTCTTTCTGACTCATTTCCTTATGTTACACTTTGTGGATCCTTTTATCAAAAAAAAAAAAAAAGTCTTCATCAGTTTCACTCCGCCGTCATTTTCCATTGGACTGGAAAGCCAATCAAAAGCGCGATTTAGTTCCCTTTACGGACCCGTGGGAAACGCGGGCGCAGCCCGTTAGCGGTCCGACGCGTGAAGCCTTCGCAGTCCGGGCGCCTTCAGTCTCTGTTCCTTTCACCTGTTAATCCTCGTGTGTTTACCAGCACATCTTTACACCCGCAGCGCGCTCGGTTACTCAATTTGAAGACTTGCCTCATTTCCATGAATTATGGAAATCACACATCTGAGGATAGTTGTTTGAATAAGGTTCACAACACAATGAAATATATTCATTTGAAAAGAGAAACATAGCTTATCAAGTGGATGACTAACAACTCTCTGTAATTGTATGCAGGATGAGACGAGCACAAACAGTTCTAACTGCTCATTTGTGGGTCTTTTCTCCCCGCTGTTCGCTTTCCACACAATAGATGTTGTCGCAATCATCTGCAGCACAATTAAACTAATCACTCAGCAGCGAGTGTTCGTCGCTCATAGATTAAAGGTTTGTGTGATCAGCGGTTGGTCCTTGGATTCATCAGAATTAGCCTCGCATTACTTAAAAACTCACGGTTGATTTCTCGCCACCGGAAAATTGAGCTCCACGCAAGATCGTTCTGTACAAAAATAACTTTTAATGGCGTTAATTGTGCCGTCACGACCACCAGAAGCTGACGGAGAAGCTGAGCTCCAGGGAGCGCACGTAATGCCAGTGCCGGACGGGGATGAACAGCACGTCTCCAGGCCGCAGCACGCACTCGGCGTACGGAGCCCGGGAGAACTCCGGGAAGCGCTCCGCGTCCGGGTTCTCCACCTCCACCTGCAGGGAGGGAGTCGGGAATGAGAAACGCTGGATTAATATGTATATTTTTGCAGGCGAGACGTGCTCCATCTCCAGGGACCGTCAACCCCACCTGACTGGTGTTGTGGAGGAGCGGTGATGGATGAGGGTACAGCTTGTCTGTGTCCTCTGGGGAATATAGGCGGATGTATTTGCTTCCCACCACCTGGCGTGAAAAAAGAAAGGGGGGGGGGGAATCGCATGCGGTAAACAAACCGGTCACTTTGAAACTACCTGCATTCGTGAAGTAGTCGTGAAGTCGTCACCTGAGCCAGGAAGTTCTGCTGAGGGTCTTGGTGGAGAGGAGACACCGTCCCTCGGGGCCCAAACCAGGCGTTGACGGTGATGTCGTCCTCGTCTCCTTCACCCAGGCAGCAGTAATCCGGGAGGCAGATGTCTTCCTTCAGCTCTGGTATCTACGGCAACGTCAAACAAGCTAAATCACATCAGGGGGCTAAATTACCTTGTTTCTCACTGAGGAAGTGATATGAAATAAAAAAGATAAAAAGGTTTTTATTGGATGGATTGTAACAAAGTTATTAAAACCTTTGTCATTTTAAAACAAAAAGTCTTTTTAGACACATGTAGAACAGGGGTCTCAAACTCGCGGCCCGCGGGCCAATTGCGGCCCTCGGGACGATGTTTTGTGGCCCCATCCTTAATATGAAAGTGTAATGTTAGTGCGGCCCGCAAGTTTTATACTGTAACCCCACTGTCAGCTGCTGTGTGGGACATGTTATGATGTTCTGGTTTCCTACTGTGTGCTTGTCCAGTGAACGTGGCATGCATGTGACTGACATGGGGGGCGGCCCGTGTGTGTCGGCCGAGGTGCAGAGAGCAGGAGGGTGAAATTCAGTTTCCTGCCCTCTTTCGCGCAGGTGATCATGTGACTAACCGTTAGCATCATTCGTTTAATAAAGCTTCCACTCTTTATTACAGGGGTCTCAAACTCCGGTGTGGCAGACCGCCGCGGGGGGTGGGGTCCCGACTTTGGCGTACCCCACCCCCCAGACGCTAGTCTGGCCCGCGTTCGGTTGAAGTGGGCTGCATCTGGCCCGCAGCTGATTTGAGTTTGAGACCTCTGATGTAGAACATAAATACACATTTTCATGAGGGATTATATACTATAATCCCTCATGAAATCCTTATGTACATACTTAGCATGACATTGGTTGCAGTTTATACAACTACTTAAGACCAAATATCTGCATAACTAATTAATTGACATTCATCTTTTTGCTAATTAGTAGATGTAAAGAACGTGTAGAACTTTTGAGATGGAGAGTTGCATGAAGCAGTCACACTAAAATAGACGGCCTTCATTCTTATTCCGTATAATCAGCCTTAAAAAAAGGTCACAAATTATATTCAAGCTGTGTTAATTGGAAAGGAAAACATAGAATTAGCCTTTCTGTCAGTTTCTAAGAAGGTAATAAAGGTATGATTAGCTGATTACTTGGAGTTCTAAAAGGATGAAATATTTTGTGAATAATCCACATCTGGCCTCATTCTGCTCGATCAAACTGCCCAAAATACACAACTTTCAGCCCGACACGGCGGCCTTTGCGCGAAGTTCAGTGCAGACAATTGATTGACTTGTTCGGTGATATTAGGACTAAAAGTCGATAGTGTTCAAAGGAACGCGGTGGGAGGATGACAGCTGGAAATAAAGAGGATTCAGTTCTTCATATTGCCAAAAAATAGAAGCTGAATAATCAACTAGTGAAAAAAAAAATAGAGTATTATTTCGATAATTGTACCTGATCAAAAAGCTGGTGCTGGGCGAGATAACCCAAACCGTCCACTCCCTCCTGGGTCAGCAAAGCCAAAGCAACACAGCGCGTTAGAAACCGCGGACAGATGGTTCTTCCTTCAGCAACGCAGCGAGACACTCACTTCATCCAAAACGTGTCGCTCAATGAACTCATTGACCGTGAGCAGCGTCTGGGACCACTCCTCGTCCGTGTACCTGGAGCCCACCTCCACGGGGACCGTCCGGCAGCCGGCGACGCCCCGCAAGTATTCTAGGCTTTTGTGGGAGGAAAAAGCAACAGGAGGTCACCACTCTGCCTGCAGAGGACAGGAGGATGGACGTCTCCTGGACAAAGGTGAGCCCCTCACACATCAAAGTGAAGAAAAAGGCGGACAACGGACCTCCAGGGGCGTTGGTTGAGGGCGGGCCAGTGCGCGATGGTCCCCTCTAAGACCACCGGTTTGAGGGGGAGCAGGTAGTTGGTGCTGAAGCTCTCCAATGAAGGACACTTTATCCGGGGAACTGCTGACTCGTCGTTGATCACAGGAAGACGTGAACACTCCGTCTTCTTTCTCTGAATGATGCCAAAAGAAAAGCAAGTCAATTTAAAGATGAAGAGGAAAATAGAGAGAAATATGCCGGCAATTTCTTCGTTGAGAAGAGAGCTGGAATCACTGGTTGACTAATGGAACCGTCTGTTGGCAGAAAACTTTGTTGACTGGGAATTAAAGACGAGTTTTATTATTTTTTTTAACGATTATTTATGTGATTTAAAAATTTAGATGATTGCATTTTTGGAATTTCTCTCTTTCCACCTTCTGACATTTTATTGTCCAATTATTGATCATCCGAGAACTTAATGGAAGAATGAAAATAACTTTTTTAGTCGAGCTGGTCGAATTTATGCTCTTCTCCTTTTTGTTTTGTTAAAAAAGGTAAACAGAAACAAACATGTAGTTCCAGCCAACCTTCCTCTAAACGCTCCACGTCGATGGCATCTAAACAAAGGGATCAGACATTTGAGTCTTTGTTGGCCTCTGATAACAGGCGACAGAGAAATACTTGTCCAGGACTTTAGAGAAGCTCACTCTCAAACTACTTTTCTATGTAATGAGCAGTAAACACCTTCTTTTTTTCATAATGTGTCACTCAAACTAAAAGTACCCGTGACTGACCTTGACCTCAGCGCGTCCACTCTCCTCCTGGAGGTCGGTGGATCTCCTGACTTCCCCTTGGAGAATCCCAACAATAACCTGCAGTATGTTGTCCATGATGGCCGCGCCCATGAGAAGACCCATGTCACAAGTCCTCACGGCCAGCAGGACCTCGTCCGCCGAGGGGCCGCGGCGGCACAGAGCGGCCGCTTTGAACAGGCAGCCGTAGGAATAAACGCGCCTCCACTCTTTGTCCACGTGGCGCCACGTTCCCGCGTTGAGTCTCTCCCACGAAACGTCCAAAATGATCTGCGCGTTCAGCATCCGGGCGGCGGCGGCGGCGGCGTTGTCGTCGTCGCTGTAAAGCTGCCGCCGGGACCGCCGCAGCATTTCCACCACGCTCGACTCCACTTTGTCGCTGAAGCGCAGAGGGAGCTGCTCCTCGTGGCGAGGCAGAGCCGCAGAGATCTTTGCCCACAGCGCGGCCATCGGCGAGGAGGTCCGTGTCTGTGCTGCGGAGAGACGGCGAAGGTGAGTCACTTGTTTCAGACCGAGTCCCTGATGGTGATGATGCACAGCCACATCCAGATGTGCGTTGTTTGTGGAGTGCTGGTTTAATCACTAGTTCTGTGCTCAGCTGGTTCATGGGTCAACAATTAGTTAAGACTGTGACCACACACACACACACACACACACACACACACACACACACACACACACACAGAGTCTCTTTGTGCATTGAAACAGCTTTTTTGCATTATACACCCAATTTCCAAATTGTGGGCCGCGAAAACCCAGGTGAGGACATCACGTGCCAAAAACATGCTGAGTGACGCCGCGGTGTCACGTGGTCTCCGTCTGCGTCCAGATGCTGTGCGAAGCTGGAGGCCAAAATACGAGGCAGCCAACATTGGCACCGGGTGTGTTACAGTGTTACAGGACGGACACACGGCGCGGACCCTGACGTGAATATGTCCCATGCCGGAGTCAGGACAGTCGTGTCCTCGCGGGACCTTCCAAGAGGACTCAGTTTGGTATTCTGCACTAGACGTCCATCAGAAGAACTATTGCAATCTTCAGCTCCATGAACATTTAGCAAATAAACACCAAAAAAGGCAGTTATTATCTGGAATATTCGGGGATATTACGGTACTACCGTAAGGTTCCTCCTTAAGGTCTCATTTCTAGATAACTCCGTATGCACTTTTCGGGTCAACAACAACAACAACAATAACTAAGAGATGGGCTGATGTCAAGTTTGTTGCTGCATTGGATGAACTCTGTACCAACTAACGTTATATTTCACTGTAATATAAATGATGAGACCGTCAGCAGGCTCCGTTAAGGTGACTTTATGACGTTAACGTCAGCTGAGGAGCAACACAGGGAGCTGAAAGGTGATATCCACCGTTACCTGTTCTCACGACACGTCCACCGAGCGGACTGACAGCAGAGCGGCATCAAACATGGCCGCCGACATCTTCCCCCGCCTGTGCTACACCAAAAACAGACCGGAAAGAAACGCGCAGCGGGAGGAATCGTTCCGCGACAAGTGCAAAGTAGAAAAAGGGAAACTACGGCACAAATACGTAAACATAGCGATTTTTTAATACAAACAATTTCAAGTTTTATCTGGAATTTCTCTTTACGACACACACACCACTCATTAAGAGGTATTGAGACAACAACTGTTCCAACATGGCAAATTAATGCATTTGTTTCACAAACATTTGTTTCTTCATTTCCCCTGCTACTCAGAATGTTTATGTGCAGCTATTCCAAGACAGCTGATTGATATGTATCTGAACAAACATGATAGGAAACCTTGGGCGGTGAAGTCTAGAGTCTATAAACACGCGCGGCACCATTATCAAATATCAAACACTCTGAAATTCAAATAATCTCAGTGTAAACCTTGAAGCCGTTCCTGTATGTAAAGCGGATGGAGACAAGAGCAAGACAGCCCGCATTTCCAGAAATCACATGGGATTTAAAAATGTTTCATGCATTTCTGCTCATTCTCACTGTGTAAACAGCAGAATTCTCGAGGCTCCGACTGTTGTTCATTCACTTGCATGGAGGTGAGGAATTACTGTGCAGGCCAACACTGCAGCACTGTGTTCATTTCCTCCATCTTTTAAGCTTTTGCTTTTGAAAAGGCTCTAAAAATAACAGAAAAGGGTGAATCACAGTTTGAATGTGAAATAATACATGGATGGAAAGAGAGCAGAAAATGTGTTAATAACCTGAGGGGTTGGAATGGTTTTTGGGATAAACAATTGTGCTTTCAACGTCACAAAAAAACCCAAATAACAATCAATTATAACCTCTGCTAGTATGAGTGGAGGGGTTGGACCAAGCAGGAGGGGTTGTAAGGCAGTGTTAGGCTATACCTAAGGTCGGTGGCCCTCCCCGTGCAGGCCGTCCCATCCATCGGCAGAGGTCAGTGACCTTTACCAGGTTTACATGGAGGTAGTTATGTCTTTTTTGTCATAGCATTTGATCTATTGCTGTGAAGACGCAATGTCATTTTTTTTGGAAGGACATTGCCGACGCTAATCGTGACTTTGGTTGTATGACTCTACAAGCATCGTGTTGGTTTTGAGCTGTCGCCGAGGGCGGAGTATTCCTGTCATCGCTTTCCCTTCAGTTACTCAGGCTCAGCACAGCGCAGTCATCAATTTTGTGTACATTTCTCACGTTGATTAACAGTTATGAATGGTTATGTACGGATTTATCCCATCAGCTGGTAAATTGTTGTATACCTTCACATCTTCCGCCGCAAACTAAAGACCCACCTCTTCAGACTCAACCTCGACTAAAAGACTAATAAATTGTAGCACTTAAATTGTACTTATAACGCCACTTATCTATAGCAAATTTTAAATTGGCTTATTTGAGGAAATTGCTTCTTCTTGTTTCTTGCTCTTCTGAGTTTGTATCCCTATGGTTGAATGCACTTATTCACTTTGGAGAAAAGCGTCAGCTAAATGACATGTAATAATAATGTAGTGTGTACTTTTTTCAACAAATAAGGAAAAGTATCAAATCAGAGGCTTTGAAAAAGTGCATTTATGCAGTTAATCCCAATTTATCTCGACAGATGTTACAGAATAACAGCGTTTCATTAGTGCCGGTGCATTAAAAAGAACCCATATAAGTAAATAAATGAACCCAAATAACAAACAGTGTATACGTATGCAGTACCAAACAGGCTCTCACAAGAAAAACAAGTGTAAATGAAAAACAAATCCCCCCCCCAAAAAATAATTCAAACTTTTTTCAGTCCCAAATTAGAGCTAAATGCAAGATGAGTAAACCAAATGGACGAGCCCGACGGTGTTTAAACGTTGTTGCTGACACAGGCCACAAAGCCTAATGTGAGTCATCAGCAGAGTCACAGACGAGTGAACAGAGAGCCGCTTTGTGCCTCATGTGTTGCATTATGATCCATTTCCCCCAGGTGGTCACAAGTCACCACTCGCCCCCGAAACACTTCCACCAACGACCGGTCAAACATTTAAAATCATTGCACATTACTTGCTTACTTAAGTTTTTTTTTTTTCCTTTTATGATTGAAAAACATGGAAATTGTCCCGACCTCAGGTTACATTGGCAAGAGCGTCGCCAGATGTTGGAGATAAAACCAACTTGTGACAAGATGCCCCTTCCCCCCGAAACAGGCTGTATTATCACGTCTCCCTCTGCGCCGCGTCTCCGCGGTGTAACGGGGGGCGGCACGGCCCGTGACTGTTAGCGGTGTGTATCCCCACGGGCCCGCGGAACCTGAACCAGCGGGACGACGCAGCGGGGATGTAATCACCACCATTACGCTCCAGGTGCTGCTGAAATAAAAAGATGGAAAACAAGCCTCCGGCGGTGTCGCCGTGGTTCAGAATCCAATCAAACACTGTTTAGCTCGACACAAACTCGCCAGTCGTGACCTGTTGACTCGTGAAATTGATGTATTGTCGCGGTACAAAGAAAAGTGTGGGTGCGGCGTGACCTCCGAGTCGGGAACCGTCCAAACCGCCGCCGCTTTGTTCCGCGGCGGTTTGATTTCACACAAAACACACGTCGGTACCTCCACATTGCAGGCTCACATTTATCCCCCCACCCTCCCCTCCCCCGGGGGCAGTTTATGCATACACATAAAAGCCAGTGGAGGTCAAGGGTCGCCGCATTCACTGGGAACCTGGTAATGGATATTTGGAAATGCCCCGAAGAGGTAACAAATGAGAGGTGTAAAGTTAAATGTCCTGTGAAATCATCAGGAGATCTGAAACAAGCTGCCTTCTTGCAGCCCCGCCGGAGGTTCCCACAGGCGATGATCCACTGGCTGGTCACAGCGAGGGACGAGGGTCGCTGCGAAGGTGAGGCGGGGCGAGGCGGGGTGAGGCGGGCTCGCCAGCTCGGGACTTCTTCCGCAGGGCCGGTGCTCGGTTCCAGCGGCTTAATGCGGGACGCCGGGGTGCAGGCCGTCCGTCAAAGCCACTTTGGATCAAATTAATGCAACCAGGTGTGCCCCTGCAGTGGGGGCACAGGTGACACCTGCTACTTCGCTTTAATTAGAGCTCAAACAGCTGTTTCAGAGAGAGAGAGAGAGAGAGAGAGAGAGAGAGAGAGAGAGAGAGAGAGAGGGTCCCCGGGTGAGTCGGCTGGCTGAGTCACTGCTTGGAAACGGGTCACATTTGATTATCGCTTCTCGTTTTGGGTAATGCCGATAAATGAATCAATACCCGCCAGAGGGAGGCTGAGCGTTTTCCCCTTTTTTGTGGGGAATGGAGAAAAAAAAATGAATAACGACATTGAATGCGTTTGCCTTCTTGAATAATCAATTCCCCCTTCGGAGAATGTAGCCTGTAAGAAAAACCTGTGTGGGGGAAAAAAAGGACAAATAGGACTTGCTGGCTAAGTGAGGTGAGGATAAAAGTGGAGGCGGTCTCCATCTTTTTCTTGCCGTGGAGAATCTTCAGGGGGCTGCGAGCTCTGAGAGTACTTAGGTAGGGAGCTTTGATCTTTCCTGCAGTAATAAGCGCGGTGCAGATGAAGAGAGTCGGCATCCATCTTGAAATGTGCTTTGCCTTTGCTGCCGTAGGCCGGAAAGAGGTGGGTGGTCAGCTCAGGGGCCTCTGAGGGAAAAGTCGTAGGACTGTGGGATCGGAACTAAGTGATATTACTCCGAATGCCGGAGAGGCCCCTGCAGCCGAGGATCCTGGGAATTGCTGTTTAACCCCCCCCCTTGCAGTGTGGAGGATCTGTGCTGTAAACCTACTTGAGGAGACGACAGAAGATTTCTAAATGTGCCTTTTTGCGCAGCACGCCTGCCGAGCTGCAGCTCCGAGGCACGCGGAGAAAACGAATGCAAACACACAGTATGAGCGATTTGAAAATATGAAAACAGTGTCAGGGATTTGAATCGGAAACAAAAGAGACCTTTTCATGAACGGCAAAATAACGGAGGTGCTTTCGAGAGCCGAAGGCTCCTTCTGCACAGCTCCAAAACAGTTCAAAGGTCAGTCTCACATAACAGGTCCATTAACCAGCAGAGAGCAGTGTTGTGGCAGCCAAGTCCTCCCCTCACCCCGTCATAGCTCCATAATTGAGTATGCAAAGAGGAAACGGAGATAGTCCGGTATCTCGTGCTTCCTTCGCTGACAGCGTTTTGACTCCAAAGGCTTTTCATCAGGTCAGAAGTATGAATGACGTCCCGACACTGCAGAGAGAGGCTGTGCACCAGAGATTAAGGCTTCAGAATCCTTCAAGAGACAGAACAATAGTAGTATTTGCACTGCATATTTACTCACTCAAACCCACCTGCTTCTTTGTGCAAAGAATCAGGTGGGTTTGAGTGTGACATGAACAAAAAATGTCCAACAAAGAACTTCTCAATAACACAATAAATAAGCTGAATGCTAAAACCTATTTGTCCTCTTGTCATATTTGTTGAAATTAAAGCTGGAAAAAGTGGATCGTGAAAGAGAGATGTGGAATCTAGGTTTCTCCACCTAATACAGGTACAAAAGGAAGGCTCTTTTTTATCCTTTTCTTTGTGCTACAAAGGATCGCAAAGGTTACAGGAGACCAGAGAGACACTCGCAGTGGAAAAAACAGAACGCGCACAAAAAACCTGACACATAACGCTGAACACACCCGAGTCAAGACTGCCTCTTGGCATGTTTGTGAACAAATAAAAGCACCGGGCGTCTGACCGTGGCACTCGTTGCCAGCTTCCAACCGGGTCGGCAGTCACATCCCCTTTTGGAAAGTACACCCTTCATTTGTGTGATCCGATGCTGCGGGTGGACGCGTCCACAGAGCTGCACGTCGCCGCGTGGGAAGGGAAACGCTGCCACTCGGAAGAAGACGGTTCATTTTGTTGGCACCTGTGACCGGCACAAACAACTGCCTCTGTGAATAAGGCGTAGGTGGAAGGGACGCGGGGGGGGGACGGGGTGCACAGGGGCATGGCCTGGTTGTCTTTGTCCCAACTGAGCGGACATGTGCAACATTGATTTAGGAAACCTCTGATGAAGTTCAATTATCATTTCAAACACCCTTCAGCACATTAAGTATTTCAGTCCTACGAGCGTCTACGAGGGAGAGGAGCACGGACACAACGCTGCACACGGCCCCGTCCAACGCTGCACACGGCCCCGTCCAACGCTGCACACGGCCCCGACCAACACTGCACACGGCCCCGTCCAACGCTCCACGCGGCCCCGTCCAACGCTGCACACGGCCCCGACCAATGCTGCACACGGCCCCGTCCAACGCTCCACGCGGCCCCGTCCAACGCTGCACGCGGCCCGGGGCTCCATCGCCTCCACCTGCCAGACAGCCGCTGATCTCTCGTCCACGTTCCGTCCTCACGCTGTGACGCTCTGAATACATATTTCTGTGTTTCTCAGGTGGACGTTCACTGAGTTTGTGCTGGAATGAAGGAATGTTTCTCTCTTAACATGATTCACATGCAGTGTGTATGCGTGTCGGTGTGAGCGTGTAGGCAGCCTTCACTGAGGTGTCTCACTGAGGTGAAGGATCAACAAAGGCGCTCGCTCCGCAGCCAGTTGTTGCCAGTTCTTTTTTTTTTTTTGCTGCACTCGTCTTTTCATCCAACACAACAGACTTCTGCAGGTTTCCTGACAGGTTTTTTCCTCCTCTTTTTGCTCCTCATCAAACTCAAATATGATCGATTCCCATGTCCTGCTACCTAAAACAACGAACATTACTGGTAACCTTGGAAACTGCAGTCTTGTTTGAAATGGCTGAAGCACTGGCTCTTCAAAATTTCAAATGATCCAACAACAAAAGAATCACGCTGAAAATGAAGCTCCGCATTAATCAAAATCCAACCACTGGATCGTGTTTTTATTTTTTATTTTTTTTACATTGTCAATTGGAATGTGAGAACAACAGCGTTGTAATTGGTTTCAGCTCTGCAGCAACACACCGATGATCAGGATTTGATTTTCCTCGACGTCGCACAACACAACACACCGCACCTTTTATTAGCAGCAGAGTAAAGAGGATTTAGGAGTTCTGCAGTAATCAATAACAGACTTTGTGGACTTAATCCATCAAAAACCGTTGAAATGTGAGTGGGAAGACCCTTTGATGCTCTGTCTGGACACAGAAAACACTTCTGGTTGCTGCATTCTCCACCGTTTAAACACCAAGAGGAATCCTTCACTTGAAGGACGTGGTTTAGAAGAAGTTAGACCGTATATCCAACCTCTGGTGTAATGAAATCCAGCCTCGCTCCCTCCTGTGTGCCCCTCTTATCCTCATTTTGGAACATAGAAATATTTGTAGACCATTATGACAA